AGCGGGTAGCTGCCCTTCTGACCCGTGGTGAGGGTGGTGAGTGTGAAGAGCTCATCCTCCTCCAGCTCCAGCGTGAAATGGCCATTGAGGTCAAGGATCTGAAAGAGAAGACAACCCTGTATTCAAGACCAAGTCCTGTGGCTCATCTCACTTGGGCAAAACAGTATTGAAAAAAAGAAGCTTAGAGAAAAACCAAACTCATTTCTGTTAGAACTACTGAACCACTTGTGAAAGACACACCCATATCAAAGCCCTGGGAATCTTTTTTAAGGATTTTAGAAGACTTTATAAAGCTATACTTTTTAGACAGGATTTTAAAAGAATTTCACTTCATGGAGGGAAGGACTAGATGATCTCAACGTCTATTTCTATTAGCTTATTCTTTTCCATTAGACTGTAAACTCCTTAAAGCTTGTGTATATTCATTACATGTAGCTCAAAGACCTCCTTGTTTATTTTTTAAAACTTTACTAAGGTAGAAAAATCCATTAACTCTTACTGTTGACCCAGAAAACTTTTTAATATTAAGAAAGGAAAGTCTTGCTCATTATATGTTTAACATATATTTCAATTAGCATGTTTAGCTTTATGTCATATTTATGATCTTACAACTTAATCTCTTTAAACTACAACCTCCTCATCTACAAAAAGAAGAAAAAACATCTCAGAGGGCTGTTGTGAGGATTAAACAAGATAATTGTTATAAAGTGACACCCTCCCTCTATCACAGCTGTTATATTATTTTGAAGGCATCAGAATCCCTTGTATAATAAATGTAGGCATTAAATGTATACTCATTTTATGAAACTTTGAGTAGCTTTGTTTTTCTATTTTGAGTTTATATCATTTAACTTTGTTTTAATAATAAATTTTGGTCAGTTCTTTGAAACATCTGATGCCTTACTCTGGCTCAGGAATAATCACAAATGATATTATTTTTCCTATGGGGAAGATCAATTTTATTATGCTATTTGCAACAATTTGTTGTACAAAAAGTAGAGAATGTCCCTTTTTAGAAATTAATATATAATGTGTGTTGAATCACTGATAGTGACTAGCTGATTCACAGAACATTAATAATTTCTAAAAGTAGTAGCAGATTTGTGTCGATTAGGTGAAGCAACGCATTTGTGTGGCCCAATTCATTCTTTGAAACAATTCCTGAGAAACTACCAGTGCCAAGCACCAGAGAAAGCACCTGAGATATAAAACTAACTGAATAAAGCAGGGCCCCAATCCTCAAGGTGTCTAGTCCAGTGGGAGAGTATTCAAGTAGATAAGGACATTGTCCTAGGCTGCCATGGAGCTAAGGCTTGGGGAGGGGGGCAAAGGCGCATCAGACAGCTCCAGAGGAAGTGACACTTGGACTGAGTCTTGAAGGATGACAAAAGAAGTAAGAAAAAGGCATTCTAAGACAAGGAAAAACCATATGTAAAACAGAGGCAAGTAAGTCAGCTTGCCATGTTCTGAAAAATACTAGTGTCAAGAGAGGCCAACTTAGTAGAGCATGCAGCTAGAGAGGGAGGCAGTCTTTTACCTCACGAGGAGACAGTGAAGTATTATGCAAAGGGGTGTAAACTTTAAAGGAAAAATCACGGAGGTACTATGAGCAACGGATTGACAAAAATCACATCTGCATTTTAACAGATCATTCTGGCAGCAGTGTGGTGAGTGGACTGGAGGGACTCAGATTGGAGGCTGGAAAAACAGGAGGTAATCAGAAATCTAGGAGAGAGAGAATGAGGAACTGAAATAAGCAGTAGCAGTGGGAATGGTTAAGAGAAATGTGTGGATGACAGACTCTTCTATACTGGATCACTGATGAGGTGTAGAGGGTAAGTGAGAAATACACAGAGACTAAGAATGAGATTCAAACTTCTAATGGGCATTTCACCTGACAGACAGGTGTTAGTGGCACCATTCACCAAGACAAACTAAGTACCTAAGAGCAAAACATACCTATAAACACATAAACTCCTTTACTGCTTTGAAGAGGATTTCTATAAAATAAAAAGTTAGAGACAACTTTATCTCTACTATGCTTTAGCTAAAAAAAATACACAATTAAAAATTCTTAATTCACTAATTAAATTTCTGTTCCCTTTTACTGCTGCAAAGCCCAAAATATAGGAATTTATTTTAAAACTACCCATATAGGATCCAGTTGTTTAAAAAGAAATTTCTTAGATGGTTTTCCAAGTTTGGTATACCACACTTGTAGCTCTGGTATTTGGCTCTGGGAAGGAAACACAAAAAAAAAGCATGGTTGAGTGATTCACCATATCCTCTAAGATTTCCAAAATCAGTAGCAGCAAGAATGGTCCAATGACTCCATTTCTATTTACAAAACATCCACCTCAAATTTAAAAAGCAACATTTTTGAAAGTAAGAAGACATTATTCAAGGAAATAGTTTATTTCCTATGAATACTAAAGAATTTTGGCAAAATTTAAAAACAATTTTAGTGTCTTTTCAGCCTTTGCTTCAAAAATACTCATTATTGTACCCGTGTGTTATATAAGAATTCTCTGGTATTAAAACACAATCCTTATGCCATTAGGAGTCAGAAAAGGCCTTACATTTTCTATATAGAAGATACCGTGATATACGTACATTCCTACAGAGCCCTGGTGGCATAGTGGTTAAGAGCTCAGCTGCTAACCAAAGGTCGGCAGTTCAAATCCACCTGCCACTCCTTAGAAACCCTATGGGGTAGTTCTACTCTGTCCTACAGGTCACTATAAATCGGAATAGACTCAATGGCAACTGGTTTGGGTTTGAGTTTTTACACAAACTATTAAAGAGTTTATAAAGACTTCACTTAAAAATTGCTACACTGTGATAACCATAAGCCAATCCCATTGCCGTCGAGTCATTCCGACTCATAATGACCCTACAGGACAGAGCAGAACTGTTCCATAGGGTTTCCAAGCAGTGGCTGGTAGATCTGAACTGCTGACCTTTTGGTTAGCAGCCAAGCTCTTAACCACCGCGCCACCAGGGCTCCGTAAATTCTCAAATTAAAATTAAAATAAAAATCCCACGTATTTACTTACAAAAGATCCTTTAAGGGTGAAGGTAGCAACTTGTCGTGACACATTGAAATAAGGAAGAAAGGGTCGTATACACATAGAATATTTATGGCTCTAAGGAGGGGAAAAAAAATCACATAAGTTAACCAAATAATGTACAAGGTAACTTAGAAAAAAAAAGTTAAGTAGTTAATGCCACAATATTAACAAAAATGGTATTTACTAGGTAACAAATATGAGTTTATTTCAAAAATAAGTTAATTAATTAACTATACAAAGGCTTTCTTCTAACGTAACATTTATTAAAATGTTTATCCTCTGTGCCTAAAACACCAGCTGCTGTCAAGCCAACTCTGACTCTTGGCAACCCCACGTGCGTCAGAGTAGAACTGTGCTCCACAAGGTTTTCAATGGCTGATTTTTTGGAAGTTGATCGTCAGGCCTTCTTGCTTTCAAGGCATTTCTGGGCAGGCTAGAACCTCTCAGCTTTCAGTTATCAATTGAGCACATTAACCATTGCAACACCCAAGGACTCCTCTGCATGCCTAGTCAAAGTAAAATTCAATGGTATTTTAGTATGAAGTAAAAGAGTTGAACAAAAGATTTCAAAGGGAAGCTCAAGAAGACAAAGTATTATACTGACATGTGCAAAGACTTGGACATGGAAAACCAAAAGGGAAGAACATGCTCTGCATTTCTCAAGCTGGAAGAACTACAGAAAAAATTCAAGTCTCAAGTTTCAATACTGAAGGATTCTATGGGGAAAATATTAAATGACTCAGAAGCATCAAAAGAAGATGGAAGGAACACACAGAGTTACTATACCAAAAAGAACTGGTCGACGTTCAACCATTTCAGGAGGTACCATATGAGCAGGAACCAATGGTACTGAAGAAAGAAGTCCAAGCTGCACTGAAGGCACTGGCAAAAAACAAGCCTCCAGGAACTGATGGAATACCAACTGAGATACTTCAACAAATGGATGCAGCACTGGAAGTACTCACTTGTCTACGCCAAGAAATTTGGAAGACAGCTACCTGGCCAACCGACTGGAAGAGATCTATATTTATGCCTATTCCCAAGAAAGGTGATCCCACAGAATGTGGAAATTATCGAACAATATCATTAATATCACATGCAAGTAAAATTTTGCTGAAGATCATTCCAAAGCAGCTGCAGCAGTATATCGACAGGGAACTGCCAGAAATTCAAGGTGGATTCAGAAGAGGAGGCAGAACCAGGGATATGACTGCTGATGTCAGATGGATCCTGGCTGAAGGCAAAGAATACCAGAAAGATGTGTTTTGTTGACCATGCAAAGGCATTCAACAGTGTGGATCATAACAAATTGTAGATAACATTGTGAAAAATGGGAATTCCAGAACTCTTAATTGTGCTCATGGGGAACCTGTACATACACCGAGAGGCAGTCATGCGTGGTTTAAAGTCAGGAAAGGTGTGTGTCAGAGTTGTATCCTTTCACTATACCTATTCAATCTGTATGCTGAGCAAATAATCTGAGAAGCTGGACTATATGAAGAAGAATAGGGCATCAGGATTGGAGGAAGACTCATTAGCAACCTGAGTTATACAGATGACACAACCTTGCTTGCTGAAAGTGAAGAGGACTTGAAGCACTTACTGATGAAGATCAAAGACCACAGCCTTCAGTATGGATTACACCTCAACATAAAGGAAACAAAAATTCTCACAACTAGATCAATAAGCAACATCATTATCAACAGGGAAAAGACTGAAGTTGTTAAGGATTTCATTTTGCTTGGATCCACAATCAACACCAATGGAAGCAGCAGTCAAGAAATCAACACACACGTTGCATTGGGCAAATCTGCTGCCAAAGACCTCTTTACAATGTTAAAAAGCAAAGATGTCACCTGGAAGACTAAGGTGCACTTGAGCCAAGCCATGGTGTTATTGATTGCCTCCGAAGCATGTGAAAGCTGGAGGATGAATAAAGAAGACCGAGGAAGAATTGATGCCTTTGAATTACGGTGCTGGATAAGAATATTGAATATACCATGGACTTCCAGAAAAATGAACAAATCTGTCTTGAAAGTACACCCAGAATGCTCCTTAGAAGCAAGGATGGCGAGACTACGTCTCACATACTTTGGACATGTTGTCAGGAGGGATCAGTCTCTGGAGAAGGACATCATGCTTGGCAAAGCAGAGGGTCAGCGAAAAACAGGAAGATCCTCAATGAGATGGACTGACACAGTGGCTGCAACAATGGGCTTAAGCATAACAATGATTGTGAGGATGGCGCAGGACTGGGTAGTGTTTTGTTCTATTGTTCATAGGGTCGCTATGAGTCGGAATCGTCTCGATGGCACCTAACAACAACAACAATAATGTTATTTTGACTGAATGAAACTAAATTCAAAGCTAATCTCCAGAGATATTTTATGGCATATGGATTAATTTTTTAAGTTATAACTCTGTTTCCAAGTAAAATACATGAAATTAAAAAGCAGAAGTTTGACATTTTTTTTACTAAAAAAGCATCTCCTCTAGCTATCACCTTCAAATAGACACTGTGATCATCTAAATACATATTACAAATAGTTCTCAGCTTGTCAATATGATTTTTTTTTTTTTTTTTTTTTACTAAAAAACCACTAATATAGGTAGCATAAAAAGGTATGAGACATAATCCTTACATTAGGGGAGTCAACAATTACAGAGCACTCACAGTACAATGTTTTGTGACACACTTTGTAGGGGAAAAAAATTACAGTTAGAGATTTCAATACCCCACTCTCAGTAATTGCTAGTACAACTAGACAGAAAATCAGCAGAAAGATATAAATAGATCTCTGGAAAATTCCCAATTTCTAAATAATTCATGAGTTATAGAAAAAAATCAAAATTCAGAGAGAAATGAGAATTCTGAATTTATGAAAATGAAAATACAACATATCAGAATTTGTGTGATGCCACTAATGCAGTACTTAGGGAGAAATTTATAGCACTAAATGCCCAGATCAGAAAAGAAGAAAGGTCATGAGATTTCACCTTCCACCTTAAGATATTAGAAAAAAAATCAATTAAAACCTAAGTAAGCAAAGAAAACAACAGACGTCAAAGCAGAACCCAGTTAAACAGAAAGCAAGAAAACAAGAGAGAAAAATTAAAAAAACTAAAAGCTTTGAGAAGATCAAAGAAATGGATAAGTCTCTAGTCAGACTGATCAGGGAAAAAAAGAGAAAAAACACAAATTACCATTATTATTATAAGAAAGGTGACATCACTACAGAGCCTACAGATATTGAGAGGATAATAATAGTGTGATTAACTTTATACCTACAAATTCAACAACTGAGATGAAATTGACAAATTTCTTGAAAGATACAAAAACTCAAAAGATCACTGAAAAAAAAATGGATAACCTGAAGAGCACAATCTCTATAAAGAAAATTAAAATTGTAGTTAAAAAATTTTTCCCATACAGAAAAGTGTACTAGGGAATTCTAACAGAAATTTTTTAAATAATAACACCAATTCTACAAAAACTCGTCAAAAAATAGAAGGAGTACTTCCCAATTTATTCTAAGGCCAACATTACCTTGATACTAAAACCAAGCAGACATTACAAGAAAACTATAAACTAATATCCTTGAGGAATATAATTGCTAAAATTCTAAACAAAATTTCAGCAAATTGAATCCAACGATATGGTAAAAGGGTAATACATCATTAACAAGTAGTTTATGATTAGAATGCAGGGTTGGTTTAACAACTGAAAATAGTAAGTGGAACACTTCAGAAAGAATGGCAGAGTAAGAACCTCTGAATATCTCCTCCACAAAAGCAACAAAATACTGGCAAAGACTGTCAAAACCAACTTTTTCAAAACACTGGTGATTAAGCAAAGGCTTGCAATAATTTCAGGTTATTTATTCAAAAGAAATGCCTAAATGTCGCTAAGAACAGTGAGCTTTATGGTGCTTAAACTTGCTCTATTCATATTCCCTTCTCTCTAGCTCCTCAGTTGTCTTGAAAACCAAGAGCCCCACAATCATGGTGAAAACCAGCAGCCTAGGAACTACTAGAGGGGGCAGAACAGGGATGGAGCTGCTACAAAGCCCAGTTCCCAGGGAAATACCATTATCTGACCTGTCTGGCAGTTTGGAAGACCCCACTCACAGGGTCTGTCTTTATGTGACTTGATGCAGAACTTGTCCAGGGAGAACAGCCTTTTCCCTGGAGGCATTTGTTGAAAAGAATTAGTGGCAATTTCTTAACATTGCAGCTGCCTGAGGTGGCAGTAGCATTTAGAACGAACAACAAGCTGACCAAAAAATTAAAGGGAAAAGATGGGAAATGAGATTTGTAAGGGGTTTTAAAAAGCTATGACATATTCCTCAGAATCTAGAAGGTCATGCACATGTGTAGAGCTTTGTGCATGCCCAGAAAAGACCTGGGAAGGCCCTGAGCTCTTACCTCAAGCTCACTTTGAAATCTGCACAGGCAGGAAGTGAAGGCCATGCCAGAGTTGTAAACTGCCTGCCTGAGCATTGAAGGTGTGTCCCAACATACACACAGAGCCCACTGTCAAAGGCTGGGAGATGTACTGTTTCCAAACATTTAAGGAAATCTCTGTACAGCCATGAGCTGACCACAAAACCAAGCAGAGACATCAAGGGCCACACATAACAAAGTTCACAGACTTTACAGAATTAATTCAGGAAAGACACTTAACATCAAATAGCAGCAGCAGCAGCAATGACAGCAAACAACACCAACAACAAATGCTGGAGATATGGGAAAATCTGATTTCCCAGAGTTGATACGTTATTCAAAATGTCCACTTTGCAACAAAAAATTATGAAACATACAAAGAAACAGGAAAAAATGGTCCATTCACAGGGAAAATAAAAACAGTCAACAGAAACTCTCTGAGGAAACCCATACATTAGACTTACTAGACAAAAACTTTAAATCAACTATTTTAAATATGTTCAAAGAACTAATGAAAACCATGCCTAAGAATTGAAGGAGAGTTCCACTTCCAGAACGGCAATATGATGTGCTCCATGGAACTGCATCCAAGTAAAACAGGTGAAAATTTTAAAATATTAAGTCTCTGGAAATAACCATAAGCACATACAGCAAAAGAGAACATTTAGTCAAGAAAATGTATGCAAAATCAGTACGAACAGCAATAGTCTGTAGCATATGAACCATGACTCACTTGCTTAGTCTCTCAGCCCTCCCTCCCAGCCCAGTCTGATAGCAGCTCCACTCCAAGTGGGTACAGCCAAGAACACAGGGCTCCCTCTCCTCCCAGTCGAGGGTGACAGTATCTTCCTGGTAGGAGCAAAATGTATTTCTTATCCCACCCTATCCCAGCTATGTAATGCAACAATTAAGTGCCAGTAAGGGCAGCTGTGATCAGGATTCCCTTCGTTGCACAGCACCCACTTGTGAGCAAAGGCTCTACCTTGGGCATGGTGTACTGAAAATACTGGGATCCTACCCAATCACCCTTACCCTGGCTCGTTCATAGGGTAGCAGTTCCACACAGGGAGAGGCATAATGAGAAGACCCAAGGCTACTGCCCCCGACCCACTCAGTGCCCTACTCATCAATCAGAGGTATCACTGAGAGAAAAGTGTGCCACTGTCCCCACTTCAAGCTCCAGAGACTTGGCTCAGGGATTTAGTCCAGGAGAAGAGGCAGGCCATAAAACCTGTCCATTGCCGTGGAGTTGCTTCTGACTCACAGTGACTATATACTACAGAGTAGAACTGCCCCGTAGGAGTTCCTAAGCTGTAATCTTTACAGAAGCAGACTGCCACATCTTTCTCCTGCGGAGCAGATGATAGGTTCAAACCGCCAACCTTTCAGTCAACAGCCGAGGTCTTTAACTACTGTGCCACCAGGACCATAAATCAGAGAGCTCCAAAACTCTCCCCTAAAGGAACTGATTGAACTGCTTGTATTTAAAACAGAGAGTGTGAAGTTCAAACCACAGGGCGCTCTCAAAAATAATAAAGGTTTTAAAAAAAGCAATTAAGAGGAGACTGGTGGCTTCATTAGAGAGATAAACTAAATCTTAGAGCAGCTAGCTTAACAGAGAAAATTAGAGAAAGAGACAGCTAAGAAGAGCCTTCCTGGGGTCAGAACAAACCTCAATGACCTCAAAAACACCCCTAAGTCAGAATTTAACTGGAGACTATGGAGCAATTTGAGCCCCAGGACATTGTTAAAAACAATACAGCAATTAACTAGCAATTAGTGGAGCTTAACAAGGAGGTGTAATCCAGGAAGAAACAGAGAGCCCTGGGAAAACCACTGTTCACTTAGGTATTGTGCACAGGCCAAGGCTGCCCCCTCTGAAAAGCAACATCAGAGACTTCCTAAAGCAGTGATCAGCGGCTGCTTGGGAAGCCACAGGTGTGTGGGGAAAAGAAGCAAGGGATTATAAAGGGATATAAGCACTCTTTTGGGGAGCAATAAATATGTTCACTATCTTAATTGTGGTAATGGTCTCTTAAGTGTATACATAATATTAAAACTTATGAAATTGCACACTCTATATTATTTAAAATGTGCCATTTATTATACACAAATTATATCTCAGTAAAGCTGGTTAAAAAAATGTATTCAGTTTTGTATTACGCTTTATTTCCAATCCTAAAGAAGTACAGTTAATCCAACAGCAACAACAAAACTTTACCATAGTTTCAATGATGATGGTGAGGTTGCCTAAACCATCAGTCAGAGCTACGTAGCTTCCTCCTTTCTCTAAATGTCCAACTGTCTTCAGGTAATACCAACCTGGTTGCGTAAATTGAGTAGTATGAGCTACAGAAAAGCAGAGAAAGACCCAAATAAGATAAAAATGGCAACAATAAGGATTCTTTAAAAAAAAGGGAGGGAGGGTGGGGGCTGTCTACTGATTCATAACATAGTTTGAGTCTGACAAGCCAAGATTTTTTTCTGTTTGGAAGAAAGTATCTACTGACCTCATTTTCAACTTTTAAATAATTAATTCAGTTAAATGGTACAATTTCAGGAAGAATCTTAGAAAGACTGGTAAAAATAAATGAACAACACTCTGTGAATCACGAATCATCCAAGAATTCAAGAATATTAGTCCTTTTTTTCCCCCAATAGTAAAACTTATTCCGTCAACCCTTATTCATTTCTGTCGAACCCATCATAATACAACTACAAGACCTGAAGTTAAAAAGTGTTCATGCATTTCCAAACCATAAGAACAAGTTTATTTCCATAATATATATTTACTGGGCACCTCCAAAGATGGCTGTGCAAACATACTAAGCAATTATTCCATGTCTCCACTCTCCCAAAATAAAACACTCACAAAATGAGCAGAGCACAGTAGTCCACCTAGATAATATGGGGCCAGCAATGTCAACATTTAAAGGGTTAACAAACAAGACATACAAGTTCATTTTAACTTTTCCATATTTTAGAAGAATAATTTAAGGAGTTTATTCTAGTAATCAAATTCACTGGCATGATTATAAATCTCTTTGAGGAAAATACGTCAGCTGAAAATTACCACAATAGAGGTTTAAAATTAAAACAAATTCACTTCCAATTTATAATTTTCCTATGAAAGCATCTTACCTTTGAAGGAATTGATTTTTAAAAGGGAACTGTGGTTATGATGTTAAAACAAAATGGTTATGTTTAATTTTTTTACAAAAAAAAAGACTGTAGAAAATAACAAAGGTAATTTGACAAAAGAATTTTTGTTTAAATTATATTCATTATTAGTATGGCTACCTTTATCCTTTTGTGAAAAAATTATACCATGCCATCCACTGTCTGCATCACAATGTCCCTTGTGACTAATGACACTATAGAATAAGTTTTCTGTTTCAATGGAAAAGGATGCATCATCTATAACCTGTTTATTATCTTTGAGATATTCTGCAACTCCGTATGTTTTAGGTGACTGATAGGTAAGTAAATTATGTCCTGTCTGGTAAGGTTTTAACTGACTTCCTCTCTGCTGTGGGAAAACCAGTTTTGTTTCTATTTGCAATTCATCTCAAATTCTTTTACTCCATATAAATTTGTGCTTTTCCTTTGAGCTAGTTATAACACTTGGTTGGCTCCCTCACATCTTTTGAGTAGTAGATACTCTTTAACGTATGTTCATTTTTACATCTGTATAAGAGTCATGATTTCTCCTTTTTCTGAAAATGATCTTTTAACAACACACATCTGTAGGTTTAGGGCACAACCTGAAACCATAATATGTCATATAACTTTTACATGTACTTATCCATTTAATAATTCAATACAGTATTTGTTAATCATGTAATGAGTGCTATATACTCACCTTTGATTTTGTTAGCATGCTATTCTAATCAATAAAACTATACTAGTACAAAAGAGTAAAGTGCCCTCATGACTAATTTTAAATCACCTTTAGATACTCTGAATTGTAGAGTCTTTTCAAATAATTCATTTTATTAACAATTACCATAATCTGTAATTATATACTTAGATCATTTGATTCTCCCTCAGAGAGTTCAGTGAGGAGAGAGATCACTCTGCTTCCACTCACCACTGAAAAGTCCAGGACCTTGCACAGTGCCAGTATGCAGTGCACACCCAAAAACACTTGCACAAAAACTAAGTATTACTGAAACTTTAATTGCTGATGGACATTAACCAGATGATCGATAAAATACACATCTCCCCTTTGCTATTTTTTCTAAGAGCCAGGTCTTAGCCTAATAATCAATAATGAAATTCGAAAGGTAGCCTAATTAACCCAAAAAAAAAAAAAAAAAAAAACTGAAACCTATTACTGTTGAGCCAATTCCAACTCATAGTGAACCTACAGGACAGAGTAGAACTGCCCCATAGGGTTTCCAAGGAGCAGCTGGTGGATTTGAACTGCCAACCTTTAGGTTAGCAGCCAAGCTCTTAACCACTACACCACCAAGGCTCCAATTACCCAAAAGATTCTTATAAAACACTATGGCTCATCTTGCTTAAAACAGAGATATACACACACATACACACACATAGGCACACACATATGCATGCACACACACATGCACACAAACATGTAACGCACACACATACAGTAAGTTCGTGTGATCCCCCTCCAAGTGTCTCTGCTGTCTCTTAGACAGGAACTCTGGGAACTAGAGGAGGAATCTGAACCATACCTGATATCCAGATAGGAGGTTCTACTTCATAGTGCCCACTCCATGGCTCCTGAGCAGTCATCAATCCACATCCCCCGTAAGGTAACTGTTCATAGTAACTAGCCACCAAATTCCAAGCGATTGTGCTAAAAGATTTGTTTGATAAAAGAGAAACATCAAAACAACTTGTGATTTAAAAAAGTAAGTCTAGAAGCCTGTAGTAAAAAGACCTTATGATAGTATATGTAAATGACCACAAAACCGCCACTCAACACAAGAAAGTGTGAGTTGCCTAAGTTCACTCATATTTTGAAAAATCCAGCGTTAGTTAGATGCATCTAGATATTTTTAAATGGTTAATCACATAATAAAACAATGCATATACATATAAGTTATACAAGTTTTTTACTGAAACAATGGTGTAGCCAGAAGATGACACATGCCCTACCAGTCGTGAACATGTCACAAATCTGAGTCAAATACAAATAAAGGCTTTATTCATACCTGCTTTCCTTTCGACAGCCAGCCTTCTTAATGCCCCAGTTTCATGACATAATTTTATGAACTTGACTCTGAACTGTTCCAAACTTTTACAATTGAGAACTCAGGTCTTAGAGTCAGATTGCCTGGGTTCAAATCATGGCTCCACCATTTAACCTCTCTGGACCTCAGTTTCCTCATCTGTAAAATGAGGATAGTAATTGTACCTAGCTCATGTGACTGCTGTCAGGACTAAATGTATTAAAATAGAAAAGACTGTAGAATAAGGACTGCACTGCAGTAACTGCTATTATTCTGCTTCATTTACGAGTACTAACTGGTTCCAGCATGCTCGTCTGTCCCCTTGGCTATTCTTTCAGATGATCAGGCCCTAAGAGTCCACAGCAGTTGCCTGAACCCTACGATTACAACTTCATGGTTCTCAGGAAAATCACAGAGAAGGCCATGAGCTCACCTGGGCAAAAGGGGAGCTCTGGAGCCCTGGGACTGCTAGGCTCCTCACAGCTAAAAAACTCGAGCTTACCCACAGAAATTTTTCTTATCAAGTCCTTACCCATCAAAAAATGATAGAGTAACACTGTTAGAAAACATCAGCCTTTTAATTCTGTCAACACAAAGTAGAGGACGACAGTCCCAATTTTCAGAAAACCTTACTATCAGTGAGAATTTTTAAAAAACCTTTCTCAGGATTTTACCTACAGTTTGTTAATCGCCTGGACACAGGTATCCTATCCTCTCTGGCTAGTGGTAAGAGTATAAATTGAGACAAACTTTCTGGAGGGTATTTCATAATATGTACTAAAAGCTTTCAAAAATATATATACTTCTGACCCAGCCATTTCGTTTATAAGAATACACTCTTTAAGGAAATAGTTATAGATGTATACAAAGATACATGTATACAAATGTTTTCATTTCAGTTTGTACAAAGCAGTTAATTAAAAAATAAAAACAACTTCCATTTCTAGGAAGAGGGACCAGTCAATAAGGCAGACACAGTTTCTGTATCAGTGTTTCCAAACTTAGGTGGCATCAGAATCATCTGGCACGTGTACTGGACAGACAAGAGTCCCAGGGGCCTCCCCTGGATGTCTGATTCAGCTGGTCTGGGCAGCTGCCAAAGAATCAGTACAAGTGCCTCAGGTGCTCATTAAGAGTTTGGGCAATAAGGCAAGTTTGGGAATTACTGCTTTATGTAACAGAATATACATACATAAAGCATTAAAATGATGAAGTAGAAACATACTTAAATATGATAAAATGTTCATCATGCCTTGTTAAGTGAAAAAGCAGCAAACTAAATAGATTATGTGTTACGATATCAATTTTGTATTAACAATTTATACAGGTAAATATAAATTTGAAGGACATACACCAAAATCTTAAAGGGTGGTTATTTCTGGATGGCAAAATTATGGGTAATTCTGTTTCTGTCTTTGTATTTATCTGCCATTTCTAACTTCTCTCCATGAATATGAATGAATTACTCTTGCAACCAATTTAAGTTATTAAACCAAATTCTCTATGACAAGCATCTTTGCTTTCAAAAAGAGATGAAAAACAATTATAGGCTTGCCAAAGAATGTATCAACCTGCATTAATATCACTAAAGTATATTTACCTTGCTTTCATTCTGTTTATCATTGTTTTAGACTGATAATTTGATTCTAATTACAATTAAAGTGTTTTCAAATCATTTAAGAAATGTTTCCCTGAGGAGTAAACAGAGCTGTGTTTCCCCGCCAAGAGCCTCTGTTTAGATAGTTACACAAAGTTAAGTGATGCCTTAAGGAATGAATTAGACAGACTGAGACCTGAGGTTTGGTCTTCTCGAAAAAATTGGTCTGAAAAAATGGGGAAGGAATGGAACTATTCTAGATTTAAAAAGACTCGAAAGACATAATAGCTATATGCTATGCATGGTGCTTGCCTGGATTCTGGTTAAAAATTTTTAAAAAACCAACAAATGACATTTTTTGGGACAACTGAGAAAATATGAATATAGACTGGGTCTTTGAAATATTACAAAATACTGTTATGTAAAAAAATGATACAGTGATCATGTAGGAGACTGTATTTTTGGAGACGCGTGATAAAATACATAGGGGTGAAATATCACGACATCGGTAATTTACGATTGTTTAATTATTAGAAATATATATTGTTGCTGCTGTTGTTGTTAGTTGCCACTGAGTCGATTCCAACTCACGGAAATATATGTAGCTTGTCAAAAATTATACAACTGCATGACTTTTATTATCTATACACGATACTTCAGTAAAACTGACTATATACAGAAAGATAGATACAAATTAGGTTTAGGTATAGGTATAGGAGTCCTTGGGTGGTGAAAATAGTTAATGTGCTCAGCTGCTAACCTAAAGGTTGGAGATTTAAGTCCACCCAGAAGCACCTGGGAAGAAATGCCTGGCAATCTACTTCAAAGAAAAACAGCCACTGAAAACCCTACAGAAGTCAGTTCTACGCTGGCACACGTGGGGTTGTCATGAGTCAGAACAGACTTGACAGCAACTAGTATAGGTACAGACATAGGTATAAATGAAGCAAATAAGTAAAATGTTTAAAATCACTGAGCTTAGGTTGTGAGAATATGGATAGCCACTGTACTTTTTTCTACTTTTGAAAATTTGTATAATAAAAAGCTTAAAAAATTTTAATAACCTACGCAGTCATGTGGCCATTGATATAATTCTGATTCAGTATGCGACCCCAGCAGCCTGCACCCACGTCATTATTCAAAGTGCTAAAATCTTCAGAAGACCAAAGTTTCTTCTCAGTCAGCTTTGCATCCCTTACTGAATAGGTGCCAGGATAATGAGCCCTAGAAAAGAAAGGGTGGAAAGAAATGGAGAAAGGTCAAAATGTGGCAGTTACATACATTTGTTGCATGAATAAAATACATGTCCTCTCCAAGTTTTCTATTTTAAAACACTGGGCAGATTCCAGATAGATGACACACTGAATATAGGTATCTGCCTCTCCTCCTTCTTTCCAGGATCCCATTAAAATGACAACGAAGGAAAAAAAAAGGGGGGATAAAACTATAATGGCACACAGAATAGGAAAGATTATCAGTGGATGAGAGATTTAAATCTGTTTCTGGAAACCATAAAATATATGGAAGCCTAGTGATGAATGGAGCAAGCAGCTCCAGAACACTCCAGGAGGGGACCCAGGTAGATACTTGAGTCAGACTCTACAGGGGAAGCCAGAGAACTTGGAACGGTCGGAAGGAAGGGCAAGATTAAGGATGCTACAAATAAGACTAATGAAAGTCTGTTTACCATGTAAAGTAGGACTCTTTCCCCTACTCCTGCCACTAAGAGAAAGACAGCTTGGCATTTACTCCCAATCAAAAAGTAAAAATCAGAGGGTTCTTTCTTGAAGGGAAAAAATAATCTACCTTGGGAGAATTAGAAGTTATTACTCCAGAGCAGTGGTTCCCAACCTGGAAGATTTTGGCCCTCAAGGGATATTTGGCAACATCTGCAGACATTTTCAACTGTCACACCTGGGGGTGGAAGGGATGCTACTGGCATCTAGTGAGTAGAGGCCAGGAATGCTGCTAAACATCCTACAAGGCACAGAACAGCCCCAACAGCAAAGAATTATCCAGTCCAAAATGTCACTGGTGTGGAGGCTGAGAAACCCTGAATAATAACGGATCCTTCTCTCATTCTAGCACTTGAAGGGAGTCGGTAAGTTGACATAAAAATGCATATTTATTATAGCAAGAATGAAATACTGCCATAATGATGACTGTGGAAGCTAGTGATTTTATAAATAAGAACAATTAAGAAATTTCAATTGTAAAACAGAAAACAGATTGGTAGTTAATACAATAAGAGAGTACATTAGCTAAACAAATTCAGGAAGAAGATTGCACACATTTTAGGCCAAAAAATATTTGCTAGCATTTTAATAATATTACAAGCAAAGTAATGAAGGTTGAATTATATCATAACAATATTTATAAAATCAAAAGAATTATTGTGAAGATCTGTTTTTGTTTTTAGGTCATGACTCTTAAGAAAAAGTCCTATTTGGGAATTCTTTATGCCCAGTGAAGATGAAATTAGGACACATCAATTTGCTTTCTCAGAATTTCATTAGGAGGAAAAGGTTCAAAATCAGGTCAAATGTGTATGGCATATCATCTTCAATCCAGACATAATGAAGAATATAAAGAACATGAAGAAAAGCATTTTAAAAACTTAGGTTCCACCAAGATTTTGCTGAGTCACTAAACTCAGTTAAAAGCGGGCACCTATTCAGTATTGCAAATATGAACTATAGAAACCCTGGGAGTAATCTAGCACCGAACAGGGTTAAGAAATCAGTTTTCTGGCATTAGAATGTCTAACTTGGAAAACGTAACTATAATCTTTTTAATAATACAATCTCAATAAATTTTTAAATTTTAGATTTATTCTCATATCCCAGAATTTCATTGTATAATGGTGATATTCAGCTTTGGCCTCAGACAAATATTAAATTTAATACTGATCTAATTGTTATTCAGCCAAATATATGTTTGCTGTATCTCTAGTTAAAATATATTCATATAAGGAAAAAAAACAAAACACCCTGGTAAGTAGTATACTATCTTGCTACCAATGATCTTCAGATATTAGGATTACAAGTAAGTTTAATTCTATCTTTATAGTTTTCTACATTTCCCAAATTTTCTATATTGAGTATACATTATTTTCCATAACCTGAAAAAGTGTCTCAATTGAAGTTATGGAAGTAGGTGTTATCTCCCTCATTCAGAAAATGGCAAAACTGTTTTACATTATGTTCAAAACTTGAGTGATTTGTTAAAATCATCTGAGCAAAGAGCAGAACTAATACTAAAATGGGTCTCTCCCAGTGTCCAAACCCACTGCTAGTTCAACAGAATGTAAAGGCTCTTTAAGGATATAATTTTTAAAATGTACATACCATGCTAAATTCTCTATCATTCCACAGAAATATATTCTAAAACTTCATAAGACAAATAAAATTAAAATTATTATCACTGAAAATCAAGCAACTTTAGAGTTTATCTTAACAGAACAACGTATTTGTATCAAAAAAAAAAAATTAGAACTTCTGGAGAAGGTAGATCACAGCAGCAGCCCGGTTTCTGAAACTCCTAAAACTCCTACTGAAACCAAACAGATCAACCAGTTGAGGGAAACGAAAAACTCATAGACAGCATCCTCACTGAAACTAGGTATCCAGGAATCCCCAGGAGCCACGGAGAGTCAAAACTGTCCTGAGATCAGCAGACAGAACAATTCAGAAACTATGGACGTGAAAAGGGCACTACTGACTGGCTGTGTAAGCTGCAGAACTTATTATAGCAAGAGTGAAATACTGCCATAATGATGACTGTGGAAGCTAGCGATTTTATAAATAAGAACAGCTTCACTGGCACAAAACAATAATTATAAATCCATGTTAAGTGTACAGAATGTACAAAGATGTGATTTGTGGTGAGAACAACATGGAGACGGTACATGGAGCTGTATATGTATAGAAGCAGAGTTTCTGTATGCTACTGAAGCTAAATTATAACAAATAGATTGCTACAAATTTAGGATGTTAATTGAAATCCCCTGGGTAATCACTAAGAAAATAACTTGTTAAAATGGCAATACTACCCAAAGCAAACTACAGACTCAATGCAATCCCTATCAAAATGCCTGTTTTGGAGGAATGGAAAAGCTAATCCTAAATTTCATGTGGAACTGCCAGGGACCCTGAATAACAAAAACAATCTCGGAAAAAAAATAAAGTTAGAAGACACACTGCCTGATTTCATAACTTACTTCCAAGCTACAGTAATCAAAACAGTGTAGTACTGGCACAAGGACAGGCATATGGATCAATGGAATAAAATTGACAGTCCAGTAAAAAAAAAAAAAAAAAAAATCTGTAGTCAATTGATTTTTAGAAAAGGATACCAAGAACATTCAGTGGAGGAAATAACAGTCTCTTCAATTATTCTTGATACGTGCTGGAACAACTGTATATTCACATGCAGAAGAATGAAGTTGGACTCTTATCTCACACCATATACAAAAATTAACTCAAAATGGATCAAAGACCTAAATATGAGTTAAGACATAAAGCTCTCAGAAGAAAACATAGGGGTAAATATTCATAACCTTGGATTAGGCAATGGTTTCTTAGATATAACACCAAAAGCACAAGCAACAAAAGAAAAAACCAGATAAACTGGACTTCATCAAAATTAAAAACATTTGTGCATCAAAATATACTATCAATAAAGAGAAAAGACAACCCACAGAATGGGAGAAAATATTTGTAAATCATTATCTGCTAAGAATCTGGTAATCAGAATATATAAAGAACTCTTACAGCTTAACAAAGAGACAAACAAGGCATTTGGAAAATGGGCAGAGGATTTGAACAGACAATTCTCCAAAGAAGACATACAAATGGCCAAAAAGCACATAAAAGATGCTCAACATCATTATTCAAACGCTGTTTTTGTTGTGTGCCACTGAGTCAATTCCAACTGACAGCAACCCTACAGGACAGAGTAAAACTGCCCCATAGGGTTTCCAAGGCTGTAATCTTTACAGGAGCAGATAGCCAGTTATTTTCTCCCACAGTGCTGCTGGTGGGTTCAAACCATTGACCTTTCAGTTAACAGCCAAGCTTCCTAATCACTGCTCCAGCAGGGTTCCTTCATTAGTCAATCAGGAAATGCAAATCAAAACCAAATGAGATACCACTTCACACCCACTGGGAGAGCTACAATTGAAGAGGCAAACAATAACAAGTGTTAGTGAAGATGTGCAGATACTGAAACCTTCGTACACTGCTGGTGGGACTGTAAAATGGTACGCTAACTTCGGAAAACAGTTTGGCAGTTCCTCAATAACTTAAACATAGACTTACCATATGAGCCAGATATTCCACTACTGGGTATATACCCAAAATTAGAAACAGGTGTTCAACCAAAACTTGTACACAAATGTTCATAGCAGTGCTATTCACAATAGCCAAAAGAGGGAAACAACCAAAATGTCCATCAACAGATGAACGGATAAACAAAATGGGATAAGAACAACACAGAGAGAGGGTGGATGGAATTGTATAGGAGCAGAGTTTTTGTATGCTACTGAAGCTAAATTATAACAAATTTTTTTTTAATCAAAGAGTTTTATTAGGAAATGTCATAATAAAATATGTAATCTTTATGTAAGCAGGTCGTTTTAAAAATACAACATGAAAACAAGAACGCTAATTTAAAAGAAGCCATGATAGAGATAAACAAGATGCATTGTTACTATTGTTTATTTCTCAAGAAGAATTTATTAAGAAACAGAGTACAGTTATCTTTTCAGGATGCCAGCTCTTAAAGGCAGTATAGTGTTCAAATCGATGGCAGCTCTTAAGGCAGTATACTGTTCAAATCTCTCTTGTTTTTCAATCTGTGCAATGACTTTAAAACCTGATCCCTGTCTTTCTTCATTTCTGTTTCTCGTCTCTACTTACCTTCTTTTACTGTCTCCTGAATACCTGGCACCATCTCTGACCCTTCTACCCAGGCATACTGCAAGGCTTGGGAGCCACTTCCCCAGTCTGTGCAGCTGCACCAGTGGCATCCCTGAGAGCTTTTTTCTTTTTTAGTATTTTTTTTCTTTTCCTTATTTTTTTATTTTTCTTTTTTTGTTTTTGTCTTTCTTCATTTCTCAGTTTCTTGCCTCGCTCCACTTACTTTTTTTTTCCTGTCTCCTGAATACCTGGCGCTGTGTGCCATCTCTGCCGATTCTAGCCGGGCTGTACTGCACAGCTTAGGTG